AACTAGCTGGAACAATAACCAACTTCAATTTCTGAAGAATAATATATTTTTTGTTGTTCTATTTGACACTACAATCAAACACATATGTTCAGCCTTCAGTGAAGGCACTACAACTGTAGCACTGTTGTTGCAGTTGTCCAAACTCTTGCCCTCAAAAGGCTACAAATGATCCATTTTAGTATGAAGGATGGCAGTAACATAAAGCTCCTAGATAAAAACTGTTTTTACAAATATCTATCAGTCACATTACAATTTAGGCGCTACAGTTTGCTAATCAAGGACTGTTTAAAATACTTCGACCACTTTATTCTACTTTAATATTAGCTGCACTGTTAGAAGAAATTTGGGGACGCCCTACAGACAACACTGAAGGTAATGTGACAAAATTATCCCACGATGAAATCAGACATTGAAAAAACATGAACAAACATGCTGAACAGAGGACATGTTGGTGTCACAGCAGGAAGAGCAGTGATGAAATTGATTACATTAAACAACAGCAATCGGTTTTGGTGAGCTAGCTCCGGGGTCCTGCTACACAAGCTAATGTGTAAATGAAATTGAGCATAAAATCAGTTTTTCCTTTTGTGAGAAATCACAACGTCTGTTGTGAAAAATCTAACGTCTGTAACCCTCGTAAGTTAAAGGAATAAGTGATCATTTGCAGAAGGAATATTACGCTGCGAGTTTAGGAAAAAGAGAGTCCGTCAGTAGTTTGTCTTCCTCTCAGCCTGTGTCTATGTCCCACAAAGCCACCTGAGTAATTTCTCAAGGTGTTGATTCCACAGACTGCCATCCCTATACACGTACAGTGCTATCGGTGGTGTAGAAACGGGCAGTAAATAACAGCCGCCCTTATGCACACACATCAGTATTTTCAAACTGCATCAACAAAGGCCGATTAGAAGTTGTACTCGCGTTATATTCTCCTGAACAGAAACAACTGATGTAGCTACAGATAAACTGCAGAATTCAAGGTGCAGGTAGCAGCAGGGCATTAATTGTGGAACAAAAGTCTCCGAGACGCAGGTCTAATCAAGCCTTCCTAACAAAATGAACTGTTTTTGTTTCAGCGTTCAAGGGCAAAATCACTAATCCCAGCCAAAGTAAACAATTTACCAAAAACTGTTGATCGGTGGAAGATTGTTTAACGCAATATAATGGTGCCGGATCTCTTTGAAAGAGCTGAAGCCTGTGTAATCACAAGCAAAGCCTTTTGTCTCTTTAACACACATACCAAATAAGCTGCCGAAGAGGCAGATTTTTTTACATGAACGCTCTCAGTATCCATGTACCATTGCACTTTGAACCTTGTGCACCGTGCGGGGCTCGAGTTTAGCAACTGAATCACTCAAGGTGAAAAATGTGTATTTATGTATCTATTCATAGTTTTCATCACAGGAATTTTAGGAATGCTAAAAGTACGCCTTTCTCCCACTGTCCGCCGGCTATTTTTACTGGGTTTGTTTAGCCAAAATGGTGGATGGCTGTTAAATTTGATGGGGCCAAATGGCGCAATCCCTCCTTCTCCATGACAACCCATGTTATCAATGGCGAGTCATTAAACTCGTACTGAAAATAAGTGATGATTAGAAGATATATGTTATTGTTTTAGCGTTGTCTCTACTGCCCCACAACACTGACTACAGTACAATTACCCTGAAACTATAATTACTGGATCATTGCTACGGCACTTTGGAATTTCTTGCCCTTCAATTCCCAAATGATAGTATTATTGACCAATCACATCTCAAATAAAAGCAAGCATCTGCATTTTTGTTCACATTCAGCCTGTAAGCAAAGGGATTCCCCCACAAAAGACTTACTCAAAATAATTTAAGTAACTAAGACAGACATTTTCCATCTTCATGCATCATTGCAATAATCTCCATCTGGACCAACACAAAACATAAAACCACTGCAGCTCCATCTAATGCCTGAATGTGATCGGTGAAAAAATCTTAAGTGCAACATTGCCCTTCCTCCCATACCGCTGTGAAAACGCAGGCGCTTTAGAAAGAATGAGCTGAATATTATCACCATCGCCTCCGTGTCACGCACTCGCAGAAGTTCTTTATATATTTAAAAAAATAATGTTTCTGTGTTAGTACACATTAGTACAATATAACTCTCTTCTTTTGTACTCGCGTTATATTCTCCTGAACAGAAACAACTGATGTAGCTACAGATAAACTGCAGAATTCAAGGTGCAGGTAGCAGCAGGGCATTAATCGTGGAACAAAAGTCTCCGAGACGCAGGTCTAATCAAGCCTTCCTAACAAAATGAACTGTTTTTGTTTCAGCGTTCAAGGGCAAAATCACTAATCCCAGCCAAAGTAAACAATTTACCAAAAACTGTTGATCGGTGGAAGATTGTTTAACGCAATATAATGGTGCCGGATCTCTTTGAAAGAGCTGAAGCCTGTGTAATCACAAGCAAAGCCTTTTGTCTCTTTAACACACATACCAAAGAAGCTGCCGAAGAGGCAGATTTTTTTACATGAACGCTCTCAGTATCCATGTACCATTGCACTTTGAACCTTGTGCACCGTGCGGGGCTCGAGTTTAGCAACTGAATCACTCAAGGTGAAAAATGTGTATTTATGTATCTATTCATAGTTTTCATCACAGGAATTTTAGGAATGCTAAAAGTACGCCTTTCTCCCACTGTCCGCCGGCTATTTTTACTGGGTTTGTTTAGCCAAAATGGTGGATGGCTGTTAAATTTGATGGGGCCAAATGGCGCAATCCCTCCTTCTCCATGACAACCCATGTTATCAATGGCGAGTCATTAAACTCGTACTGAAAATAAGTGATGATTAGAAGATATATGTTATTGTTTTAGCGTTGTCTCTACTGCCCCACAACACTGACTACAGTACAATTACCCTGAAACTATAATTACTGGATCATTGCTACGGCACTTTGGAATTTCTTGCCCTTCAATTCCCAAATGATAGTATTATTGACCAATCACATCTCAAATAAAAGCAAGCATCTGCATTTTTGTTCACATTCAGCCTGTAAGCAAAGGGATTCCCCCACAAAAGACTTACTCAAAATAATTTAAGTAACTAAGACAGACATTTTCCATCTTCATGCATCATTGCAATAATCTCCATCTGGACCAACACAAAACATAAAACCACTGCAGCTCCATCTAATGCCTGAATGTGATCGGGTGTGAAAAAATCTTAAGTGCAACATTGCCCTTCCTCCCATACCGCTGTGAAAACGCAGGCGCTTTAGAAAGAATGAGCTGAATATTATCACCATCGCCTCCGTGTCACGCACTCGCAGAAGTTCTTTATATATTTAAAAAAATAATGTTTCTGTGTTAGTACACATTAGTACAATATAACTCCACTTTCACCATGAGCTATCTGTCGCACACAAGTATCTGTTGACATGCTCCTTAACATGGATATTATGTTGGGGAGCCTTTTTAGCCAACTCCAAATTATTCTGCCAGTCCCTTTCCTGTGGTGGGTCAGGGCTGTCTGAAGCCATTATTGGTAATGAATGTGGAGTCCTACTTTAAAAGGTTCAGGCATGTAAAGTCACCTAAAGCTGACTAATGGAATCCTGCTGACACTGAATGCCAGGGGCTTTTACCACCAACCCAGAATGGTGGTTTTGGAAATTTACACTACAGACATAATGAACTATAAATGTAAACCTTGGAATGTAACCTCCCACGCAGTAGCTTTGAGATATTAATAGATACAGAACATGCAATATGCTGGAAAATCATAAATTGTAGCTCCATTGTGTGCTTTCGGCATAAATTCTGCTACTTGTGGCTTATTTACAGAGAAATGTAAACACGTCTTTGCACTTTTGAGGCTTAAGGAGAATTATTAAAGAAGCGCCTGTGAAAATATGTGCAGAGCGTTTATTAGAGCCTGAAAATATTCAGAGTTTGTTAGTGCTGCAACACTTTGTGCCCTGGGAGATGGGCCTCTTCAGCGGGTTCACAGGTCGCGCAGAAGCGTGCAGAGTGGCCATTGTGCTTTGTCATTTCACAGGTGACTCACATCACTACACTCGAGCATGCTGGAGGTAGAGCACTCGGAGATGCTTGCGGCATTCAAAATGCATGATTTTCAGCCTAGTGCAAACAAATCGCTTTAAAAGATCAGTTTAATCTATTTCGAGCTGTTATTATGAGCTGGGAGAGTTGTTCAGATAAAGAGACTGAAGCAGGGTTAACATCAGTGTGTTGGACAACTCTTCACATACTTTACCCAGCGTGAGAGCTGTCAACTTTATTATTTGTTTTTATGATACAGTGTGCATACGATTTACAATGCAGACCACTAAAATAATGGTCAGCGGGTGAACTACTACGAGTCAATCTGCCGCAGATTTTGCAGTGATATAATATAGTACATTAAAAAAATATCTCAGCGGAAATATCACTCATAGAAGTCATAAATGCCATCGCTGTTGAAAGGTTGAGGACGCAAGGCTGCTTCAATCTCAGAGTTGCTGTCATCCGATTGACCCCAGAAATCTATACAGAGAGGTACAAAGAACAAAACACAGGATTACATTATTGTGGCAGAATGCTCACTCCAAGCTTCAAATGGACCGTTACTGTCGACATCTTGAGAATAAGTATTTTATTTCTATACTCACTTTGTAAGCATTCCAGTAAGCTCACCTTGACAATCTTAACATTCTTCCTTTTACACAGTTTATATACCAATTAGCCATAACGTTAAAACCGCTGCCAGGTGAGCGTGTCTTTACAACCCATTGGTCTTCTGGGAAAGCTTCATTGCTGACATTCACGTCGATGTTTTTATGCTTAAAACTTTACAGACTGAACATAGCTCCGCGGCAAAGCGCTCCCCGACAGCAGCAGCCTCTCCCAATGCAATAATGCGCTCCGCCAAAACTGCTTTGAGGAAACCGCGCCGAGCACCAATGGGACAAAGGTGTTATGGTGACAGAAGGGGGTCTGAACGTAATTATAGTCAGGTGGTTTTAATGCTGCAGCTCATCAGTGTATGTGTTCAATGTAGGTCTTTTGTGCTTGGAGAATTTTGGGTCTGATCACAGCTGTACATGTACAAAAAAAATCAACCAATAACTAATTAATAAAAAAATTTTGATCTTGGCCAATAAGAATCCAAACTGTAGTTCATTTCAAATTAGGACAATTTCCCCTTCATCATCATCTTCTTATCCATCTTTGGACCTAGAGCTGTGCACTGTGAATTCCCTAGGATCAGTTTGTCAGTGTAGAGTCCCACGCTGAGACAACTCAGGAACATTTAACCGAAACCTGCACTGTGATACCTTTGTTTCCAAGCATCTAATGCACTGAAGATAGGGAGGTCTCCTTTGCTCCACTGACACAATTCTCTCAAGTCATCAGCTCTTCTCCCCAGATTTGCCTCCCTGCAATTTGTTTAATTCCCCAAATTTGAAAATCAAGTTAAGCACTGCCGATTTAACACAGTGGAGAAGATCCAGCTCGTGCTGCAAATGGAGACAGTCGATTCAATGAAATCAAATGTAGCAGCACTGATTAAGGTGGCCTGGTGGTCCATGGGAACTCTCTGATTGCAGCTCATAACATTAAACATCGTTTTGCCACTGTAAAGTCGGCAATGTTCTCTCTGCTTATTATTTAGAGCAGTACCTTAAATGCCTCAAAGTTCAGGGCTGTTGTTTAAGTTGACAAAGACACAGCATGTCCCCTAAAATAAAAGCATTTTAGCTTTTTTATTAATTGAGTTGGTAGCGCTTGCTTCAAATTAATCTTTTAGGAACCTGACTTGGCTTCATGGTCACATTTTATACAGACATCCTCAAAAAGGTACAGCTGCATTTAGAGAGAAATTTAATCAAATAGATGGTATTTTTATGAAGCTTAAATTTTTGAATAATTTCACAGATGTAAACACATGGATTCTCTATGGTGATCCGTTTGGTGTCATTAACCTCTTTTTGACACTGTGTGTTTTCACTTAAATGAAATAATTTAGTGTACACTCACCTTTTGACTGTAGCGTAGAATGAGCCTTTGAGCTTGCCTTCTCTCTCCTGGAAACACAAAGATAGTTAATAGCCTTGTGAAGTTGTGACCCCAGGCTCTCTTTGAGAGAGATTTACTTTTTCACTGCTGAAAAAAATGAAGAGAAAACTTTAACATGACCAAATACTGCAAGTGAAATACGTCAATTCAGATATCAGTCTTTGTAATCAGGTTACGGACTACACACAAACTAACCAAAGCAGTACAATAGAATAAAATAAAATCTTTGTAAAAAAGCATCCATTTAACTTTGGTGATATTTAGTGGCTCGACTCAGACAGTGCACTCGTGAGAACTCCCTTGACTCCTATTGTAGGCGCTTGTGATTTTGCTATGTGGTTGTTCATTCACATGTTTGGCATTTTGTGTGTAAAGTCACAAAGGTAAAAGAAATCTTGTCTGAGTATAATAAAACACACAGACAAATAAATCAGTCCAACTGGCATACGTACAACAACCAAAACAGACTTGCGTGAAGACGCCTAATTAATTCCGAAAGATGATATTTAATGGCTAGAACCATCGTGGCAAAGGGAACTTCCTTGACTCCTGTGTAATTGTGCCAAAGGACTTCCACAAGGCCCTCTTTATTCAAAAATAGTCCAAAGACAGGGTTGCCAGGTTCCCATAGCTCTGGTGATATCGCTATGTAAATGTGTGACCTCCGAAAAGGCTTTGATCTGCCTCGATGCATATGCAATAAGGCCCCCTGTTCCACTTTTAAAGGCCTCCTCTTTAATTTACATCATCACAGAGCCTATTCAAAAGCCCACAATGTATCCTCCTCATCGCCCAGGTTAGCATACACATCCATACTGCTTATTTGTTGGGTCTCCTATATTTGATTCTTTCTTATAAAAAAAAAAAAAAAATGATGCAGACTTTCAAACAGATGAAAAATCTGGTCCGCTTTTCCATCTGCATCAATTCAAACCCGTGACCTCTTTGATTGTCACCCTCTCAATCACCCTCATCTCCTCATCACTCCCTCTTGGCACATGTGACTGTACATTGAGTATAAGGACCAAATTGCTCTGGCTGCGTTCCAGTTGCTATTTTCTAAACTTAAGACCGAATGAGAGAACAAAGACGCACCTCCCATTCCTAACTGTGAGCAGATTGCTCTGTGCTACAAGCTATATACCGCAGAGCCAGTCTAATTACTAGCATATAACCTTTACATTCATATGCTGATAGGACTTCCTACAGGACGTTTGGATGACTCGTGCATCTGTTCAGAGAGAATACTGAACCTCTGGCACTTAAAACGCAATAAAATCAAAGCAGGGAAGCAGTAAGGAAAGCAGTGGGGGGAGAAAACAAAAGCTATGGCCCGAGAGCAGATAATCAGCCTGCCTGCAAGCTGATGGTGAACTGAATGTAAGAGCTGTGGATTTCCAAAATGTGCTTATTCGTGTAGAAATATCTCGCTAAATACACACATTTATGTAAATAAAGATCATTCATCTTTTTTTTTTTATTGTAGCTTAAATCTAAAGTGCTATTATTGATTTTTAATATATCCTCAAACAGTATTTAAACAATGATGATACTGTGTTATATACTGGTTTGTCTGACCAAGCTAATAGAGGAACTGCATCGATAAATTAATTTGTGTTAATGTGTGTTTAACACATTAACACCTTCTGTCTGTATGGTGCATAAAATGAATTACCTGCGTTATTTGGAGAGAACAGGATTTATTTTCCTTTGTTTGCACTACAGCACAAAAATCATGATGGACACAACGAGGAAATCCAAGTGTTATCACGATTCAGCTTTCTAAACTGAATAAAGTAAAAACAGTAAACTACGGCGAATAGTGTATCCATTTACAACGGTTAGGCAACAGATCCCAGCCAGACCCTGCAGCAGCAAAAATACAGCAATAATCTATACCATTACTTCCTCTCCTTTGCCACAATAATAGCTGTTACAGCGAGTAAATTGGGCTTTTCTTTTCTCGAACTTCCCCTCGGGATGGGAATGGCCTATCAGCTGTTCCACTTCAGTGAGGGACAGGACTGATTTCAAGACGGGTCTATTACCATAGAGAGCCCAGCCTGGATCTGACCTCACCAATCTAATATTCAGTTTCCATAAACATTTATGCCAGTTCATCTTCTGCTGAGTTTCCCTTAATTGAGGCAATGATCTGAATATGTAAGACTGAGCTGGCCAGTGTTTTACAAGCTCTGCCACACAGAGGTGAATGTAATGTGTAAAATGATGCAAATTACAGCTATTGTAATGTTCTTTTTCAACCCCGCACTCATTCGCTTTTCATGGCCTTTGCAGTGGTTTCATATTGTTGTTTATCTCGTGTTTTAACAGTTTTTTTTTGTCTACTCTGCATTAGAGTTCAACATAACCTTTAAAATGTATGAGCTTTATATATATTTGACACACATAAGTATTTCTCTCAATTTCTCTTCTTGTTTATTTTGTTTTTTTGTCAAGTAAAACACTCTTGTTTTTCAACGTATGATAAATTTACACGTGTGTGTGTGTGTGTATTTTTACATTTTTATATTTTGCGTTATGACAACACATTGTCTGTCATTACAATACAAAGGTAATGACAGTGTGTGAAATATAAAATCTGATAAATATAAAATTTAATATCATGTTATGACACATTGTAAGAACAGAAGTTGGTATCATCAGCTAGAAATGACACACTTCTTTAAGATTAACACAATCTGTCCATGGCAGAGGCTTCAAAGACTATTCTTTACATTTTGCTCTTCGTGCCATTTTACTGCTTTACTGTTGTGTGCTGTATTAGCCTGTGGTAGTAGTTCAGCAAGTAAGTATCTAGTCTTCTACCACACACATACAAAAAAGCTACTGCTTTAGCTCTTGGCATAAAAACCATGTTCATGCTGTAGAGCTAAAGGAGCGCAGAAATGAACAAAAGCTACAGTCGCACAATAACTCAAGTAGGTTGACTATAGTATGCACTTTATAATAACAAAACCTTTATTATAGTTAGATGGCAATACATCAGTTCCTCAAGTATAAGGATACAAACCATCTTCACATAGACTGTAGTAGTTTTGTGAGCTGCAGCTAAAAAGAATAGTCTTTTTGAAACCATTGAAGCTGTATTTCACTTATGACCAACAGTCACATTAGGGAATGTGAGGACTATTGGAAGAAATTATGCTTAGCAAGGATTTAATACTGCTGCTGATGGCTAGAAAATTGCTTTTATTTACCCCGTCTTTTTTTAAGCTCGCCACCCACACACACACACACACACACACACACACATCGTAATAACACAATAGCACTTTTGTGCAAGGACAATCATGTTACCACATATTTTACATGCAGAAACTGGATTAGTGAAATTGAATAATGAAAAAAAATTGGCACACTTCTTGTGGATTAACACAGTGATTCACTTATGTGAGAGCACCTGGGATTTCTGCAACTGTGTTTTAAATAATTCTCTGCTGTGTTTTTTGTAAAAATCCTACGTTTGACTCTGTGAGCACCATCTCGATCCAGTTTTATGGAATATTTCTCATTTTCTTGAGAAACAAATAAAAACTACTAATACAGTTTTTTTTTTTAACACAGTTAAGTTGCAAGTTAAATATGACCTATTATACTAAAACGTGTTCATGTGCAACAGTTAAATCTGGACCGAACAGAAAAAAAAAAAGCAAAATCTCACATTTTAACTTGACAGTGTGTCAAATTTACAATTTAAGGTCACGTTCATGCTAGAGTCATGAGACTAAATCCATGTCCTTGGACATATTTAAGATTTTTTTCATGCATTGTCCTCCAGTTACATTAGGGAAAATGAATACTGTACGAGGAAATAATGCTTACCAAGCATTTAGCACAGCCTTGCCAGCAGCTAGAAAACTGCTTTTATTTACCCTGGCTTTTTTTTTTTTTATAAGCTTCTGCCACCCACACACAAATGCTAATAGCACAATAGCACTTTTGCGCGGCTGTGCTCGTCTAAAGGTAAAGGGAGACCCATCACCTCATCATTCCCATCAACTCCTACTCCCATCCCAGCTATGACCCTGCAGAAACATTGTTTAGGCTCCGTTTAGATGTACTCTAACAGGCCTGAATGGTAGCAGGATATAGCCCTCAGTGGGGGCAAACAGTGAGAGGCAACTGTGAGTGCACTGTGAGTGGGCGCTCTCTAACATGTGAGTGCTCTCTGCTGGCAATGAGTAAGTACTGCAACTCAGAGAAAGAGGCACTGGGCCAATGATTTCAACACAGCGGGCTCTCGTCCTGACTGGTGGCAGTCTAGTGGAGACAGCCAGTGTGAGGGATGGATGAAGGACAGATCAGGTTACACTTTTTTAACGCCTCATCTAAGCGAGGGTGGACTGAAATTTGCAGGCTGTCTGACACAAAAATTGCAATAATGTAGAGAAAACAGGAAAATAAAGCACCAGAAACATCTGAGTAAATGAATCCAAGCTGCTTTGAACAATAACAACACGGGTCACATGTGCCGTCTTTGGCTTTAAAGTTTTGCGTCAACCTAAATGAATCCCAAAGTTAAATAAAGTGATCACAAATAAAATGTGAAAACACAGAAACAGAAAATGCCTGAAAGATGGCTTCTTTTATAAAAGAGCAATCAGGCATTCATCCGTTTCAGAGAGCCAGTGCAGCACAGTGACCTCCTCTGGCTGGAGTCTCTAAATGCTGCCTTTATCTATTCATGGTTGTTTGTGGTAGTGGAGTGGTGGGGGTGGGGTGGGTGCAGCTAACATACTGTCAAATGTTTACGCACAGAAAAACAACTTTGTTGCCTGACGTTATAACCATAAAAACATTTAGAAGAACAGATGCAGTATGGGTAAAAGGCAGCTCGGTCTCACACGGCCAACTATTCTGCTGTCTTTGTGCTCCTTATGTCGTTTTTGGATTCTGGATTTGCGATTTTCCACCTATTAATACTTCTTTGTCCGTTACCGTCTCTCTCTCCCCCTCTATGTCCTGCTTTCTCTTTTACGTGTCCTCCCCCCTTCTCAGCTCTGGTCCCTCTCACCCCTCCATCTCTCCTCCCAGTGAATTGTGACATGTTCACATAGCCTCCACGTATGTGTGTGTGTGTGCAGGAAACACACACACACACACACAGCTTCTGATTTTGACACACTGAATGATCTGAGGTCGAATGCTTGAGCACATCCTGTTGTCCAAAGCAAAGCTGTAAACCACTAATTGTTGAGTCAAGGTTTTTGTCAAGCAGGCACTAGGCACAACAATCATCACCCCGTCTGATGGCTGCAGATTTTGTTTTGTGTGTCTGTGCACATGTGCTCGAGCATCTCTCCCCGTCTCTGGATCAAAAATGGGGATACGCGATGGAGCGGGGAGGGCATAAAAAAGGTATTAAAAACCCCAAAATAAAAACAAGAAAGGAGTGCCATCTGAAATGCCTACAGTAGAAAGGAGCACAATGTTTCTTTGCACGAGAGGAAGCAGTGGCATGCACTCGCATACAAAGGGGAACAAGTGGTCTTTACATGGAGTGCAGCTGCTTATTAAGACTCACTCCTTCGTGCATTATTCCTTTCATCCCCACTCAACCACAAAGTGATTTTACTTTGCTACTCACAAAGACAGCAAAAGATTTCTAATGGACAAATCCTTCATAAATGTTGCAGATCAGTCGCTTCCCCGCGAGTTATAATACAATAAACAGAACATTCCATAAAAGTATCTAACTGAAAAACACTGTGTGGGAGAGAGCGAGGAAAAGAGAGACACTGGAAAGCAAAAGAATATGAAAGAGCCCAATTCTCTCCAACTTCATAATAGTGAAATGAGCACATATAAATGTGTTAAGAGTATCTCTTTGCATCTTGTATAGACTGCATGTATTTAATCTGTAAAGCTTATTAAGACCCCAGTCATTGCTATGCAAAGCAGCACCCAGTGCTTTTCTCTCGCTTTTCAGCTGAGTGCAGTGTTTGGCCAATAGCACTGGCCCCCCGCCTCTCATTCTGCATTCATAACATGCAACATTTGCACAATGTATCTCTCAAAGGCCCTGAATAGAAGGCCTTAATACTCATGTAAACAACTGCAAACCAATTACTTAATGAATCAGGCCCACACATAATGAGAAGCCTCACAAAGGGCTATAAATGCATTTTTTGCACCAAAGCCTCTGCTTTAAACTACAATCCCTCTGCTGTAGTCTAGGCTTAACTGGCAAATCATAATTATTGTCTAAGACAACAGAGAGGAAGCCATTTTTTTTATTTCGAGTCCAGCACCATCCTCCTTTTGAAGTCACTCATCAGCTCACTGACAAAATAAAGCAAATAATTAACACAGACAGGGGAGAGGAAAACACAGGAAGACGGCGAGGAAGAGGGGCAAACAGATAGAAAAAGGGTAAGAGAGAGAGCGAGACGCAAAGAGAAAGAAGGAGGAAAATGGGGCAATGTTACGCCTCTGCTTAAGCACAGGGCTTCCAGACCACTTGTGGAAGCAATAAAGACCAAGAAGTGACTGTTGTAAGTGGAATGCTTACATCTAAGCGTTGAGGGAGAAATGGAGCAATTGCTGTATCAGAGCGGCAGCAGGTAAAAACAAGTTACAATAAAGTCCTTCAAAATACTGCTTTAAATTACATTTAGGATGAAACCTGTTCTGGAAATGCACAACAAAAAGCAAAAACACAATCCTTCCAAACAAAGAGATGGGTGTTGGGTCAAAATGAACATTAAAATGAAAAAGAATTTTGTATTTGTGATCCAAAGGAAATCCAACTGTCCCAACAGCTGTCATTTACTTCACTAAGTTTATTTGTGACTAAACCCTCTCCATGTCCAACCAGCCATCTCCTCCAGCATCCTCTGCATTGTATTGCCTCCCTCCCCCACTGTGTTTAAGCATCAGGGATTTATCTATTTTTAAGAACTAGAGAAGACAACATAAAACTTATCAGTCTAATAATAAGAGAGATATTGTTCAAAACTGCCTGAAAGGGTTATTAAAAATATATGTTGTAAGTGGACATAAATAAAACTGAACTGAGCAGGGCAAATGTTATGATGTAATATCATTTTACTTTACATTACTTAATATGGACTAATTACAGCATCATCTGTGCACGAGCTGTTTTAACTCAGACTCTGATCTCTGACCTGGATCCTTACATAGAGGAGTCCAATATCACTGCTTTACAATTAAAGTTCTTTTATCAGTAAATGTCTATTCAGGGCGCACAGCCACTCCGAGTATGACAAAAGACGTGCTTGGTGCTTCCTTCCACACTCCAGTTGGAATAAAGTGTTGGCCATGCATAACTACCCGTTTTTCCAATTTCTCTTGTGTACACAACTTGTGTCTCATAACTCCTCGTGGCATTTTGTTTTGCAGTCTAATTTCTGTTCTGCAAATTTTGTTTAATCACAGATATTGCGGACTTCCCATGCACATTAATGACAGGGAGATGGGCACCATCTGAGAGGGTCTGGGCCCAAAATTGGCTCATGTTTATTAAAGAGGTTGGTCACCCGGGCTGGTAGTGGCAGACATCAGCAGCTATGAGGACCACAATAGAGCCAGGCCATTAGACCCTTCCCTGGGCTAATAGGCAGACTGGGAGCGCCTGCTTGCCAGGCCAGGGAGATGCAGACTTCAGCCCTTGTGTCAGCATGGTGCCCAGTAATCACATGAAATCAGAGAAGATTATTCCTCATAACGTTTACCCAGCCATTACTAGAGCCCAAATGGTTTGCAGTGAAGAGGTGCTCTGAGGACCTGACATGCAATTGCAGATTTGATGAAGTCGTGTTGATATTCAAATGTAACCGTGGCGTGGTTAGTTTCCACTGAGCTATTTATCATTAGATGTTCTTTTCTTAACTACTTAGAGCTCTGATTTGACCAGCCTAAAAATGTTTCAAGGGTGAAAAATGAAAGGACATTTGTTCTTGTCAACACTCGAGCTGGCTTCTTCCAAAAGCGTTGTCCCCGATTCTCTTCTTGACGTGATATGTTTGCATTTCGACAACAAGCCTGAAGACACTTTTAGGGCTCCAATTTATTTTTGTGGTAGCTGATCTGCTTTTGAATTCTAAAACCTGGTTGAACCCAGCAAACGGTGAGTAAGAGGGGGCTTTAGGGACCTTTTGTCTTTGTAAGCGAGTTAATGGGTGGCACCCCCTTGATCTTATGGAAATGAACAGGGAATTATGAGAGCAGCCATGCAAATGTACATCAACCACTTTGGTGTCTGGTGGCCCATTTCGTGTGGCCCGTTGAATAATAACAATGTTCTTACCGAGGGTAAGGGTCTTGATGTGAGGAGCTTTTGGCCCTCCGCAGGTCCTCTTCATGGCCATGATTTATTCCTTAAAAGAGCAAACAGGGCTGGATGAAACCATTTGATTTCTTGATTGATCTCATCACAAGCTAATTTACCTTGTATACTTATATAGAAACATGTAAGGCTAATAGCAGTGCTATGCTATGAGTACAGTGAAGTCGTATTCAAAGTATGTTTTTTTTAACAATCCATTTGGAAGTTCTTGCATCCACCCTGAATATGGCGCATATCACAAATCATGTGATAACTAAAATCTATGATATGTTTTGTGGAGTTAAAATGGGATAAAAATGGGATTTGTTGAAACTTCACTGAGCAGAAATGTGAGCATAGAAGAGAACTGTTGCTTCTCATGTCCACGTATTTCCTTGGTAACCAATGATTAGGCTCCAGTTGTTCCCTACTTGACTGGAAGAGTGGACCACATCCCTTACCTGAGAGGCTATCCTCCTCCTCCTCTTCAGAACTCTGCCGCCTTTCCATCATGGCTGATTGTTTAAGTAACTGATATGCTTTTGTCTCTATTTAGGGACACACGTGGACGCACACAGGCACAAACACACACACACAAAGTCACGGTCAAATATTTGCTTATAACCCAGGTTTCCAACTTTCACAGGTTTCTGTGTTTGATGAGACAACACGCTTCAGTGGCTCCGTTTTTTTTTGTGTTTTTGGTTTCATCACTTAACAGAGTGGGTGAGAAACACTCTGCTCATTCAGCTAAACTGTTGATTCAAGCCTACAGTATGCAGCAACAGTTTCCATGAGACAGCAATCAGCATCTCACATTATCTCAGCATCCCCTACCAGGAAGGGAATGATTGATTTTGTGTTTAAAAAAATAAAAGAAACACTTGTAATTACTTTCCGTGACACTAAAAACAGTATCATATTTGAGTGGAGGAGAGAGACTGAGCTGGCAAAAATCAACAGAACAGAAGTACATAATAAATGGGCTGTTATCTCACTGATGTTACAAAAAGTACACATTCAAAGAAAGAATGTGAAAGGCAAAGCAAAATTGTGATCTTCTGTGACCAAGTCCTAACAGTTTCAGCTGGGATTCACAATAAAAACATAGGTTTTAATCATTGTTGAAAGCCATACCATGTTTACAGTGCATTCCAATCTCCACTTCATACAGCCACTGCTTTTACACGTAGTCTCAAAAACCCCAGCAGGTCTACAGGCGTGCATGTTTTGGCAATTACTATCAGTTCCAAGGTCACCGTTTTTGATTGTGACATTGATGTCGCTCAGCACAGCAAAATCTTTTCCTTGCAAAATCTTTAGTCAAGTTTTTTTTTTTTTTAGCTGGTTATGTCTCTTTTGATTAAGTGTAGCGATTGGAAACTGAACTCATTTTGCTGGCTGTGCACCTTAGGGATGCGGACACATGAAAAACCCAGTAGGAAATCTGATAGCCAAGGGTAGTATAGGATTGCTTTACATTTCAGAGGTGCAGCTTGAGGGATGGGCACACCAACTGCTTCCAGGATGCCGTCACATCTAGTATTTTAAGTCCAGCCTTGCCGGAGCATTGTTTAGAAGATAATGAGAACCGATGACAGATCTTTTGCGCTTCCCACCCTGGCGCCCTGACAATTAAAGCGGCCGCATTATGCTGGGGCAGTGAATTATCAATTTTGCTAGAATGCCTCAGACCGAGCTGAAAACACAGCTAGTGTTTTCTCGGAGATAATTAGAGAGAACTAGCACAGCTCTTCAGGTGGGACTTTGACCCTGGATTCACCTTGATCATCCTGCCTCAGCCATTGTGTAAAAGAGCCCATTATTCACTGCAGTGGGAAGAAAACAAACCACAACATAAGGACAGTGTGAATGCTGGGGCACCGGCAATGCCTTTTTACCTCTAATAGGACCACTTTCCACAGGGCTTTCGTCCTGGCTGTCCTCTTCAGCACTTTGTAGTTCTGTAAGAAAGGGAAGCGCATAGTGAGAAGCAATGGCAGGGAAGAAGGGAGTCTAGGGATAGAAATGGGAATGGGGGGGTCTTTCTTTAGCTCTGAAAGGATGGGTGTATGAAAACTGCGCTGTGAGGGATTTATATTAAAAAAAAAAAAGCTCTATAGTGAAATTGATTTCTTTCATGAAAGGGAAGTTTTAGTTCTCTGCAGAGTTGGTCTCCAGAAAAAAAAAGTCCATATTTCTTCCAATTAATGGTCTTGTTACATATGGCATATGACACAATGACTTATCACAGCGTGGAATCACAAAAATCCGTGCTGTTTTGTTAAAACCCAAACCCATATTAACGTTTCATTAGCATCATTTTCATAATTAGAATTGATCATGCCTGGTGATATTATACCAATCATCTTCAGTGACCTTCGATCCGTTGCTTCCGTACGGGCCTGGCAGGCTTCGCATCCCCATCAGCCAGCAGAGAAGGAGGACCACATAAAGAAGATAAGTCACTCTTGTCCTCTGCTGAGGGGCACTCCTCACTGGACCGGGACAGAAGTGTCCTCAGCAGCACTTTGGCCTGCGAGCAGCACAAATTAAAACCACACTCTTAATTGTTCTCATTTTGTGAAGGAAGTGTCAAATTGAACTCTCGCCGATTAGGCAAGTCATTTACTTTGGCCATGGCTGCTCGCACAGAGGTGCAGCTGTAATGCGTGTTCAAACGCCAAGAGAAAATAACTTGAAATTGTCTCACTCGTTTAACTCAAAAAAGATGATTTCGCACACTTTCGCTCCCGCTCTCCCTCTCAATCACACTTTTTTCCTCTCACTCTCTCTTTTCATCCATGAGATTAGAGAACTGCCTAAAGAATGCAATCACCCCGGTGTTAATGTGCAACACGTCCCAGATATCTTCCCTCTTGGCTGAGAGGATTGAGACAAACTACTCTCTTCCTCCCACTCTGCTCATTTTTATCTCTGTGGAGATGAGGATACACAATTAAGAGGAGCTGTTCCAGGAGATGGGGAGCAGCGAGATGCCACACGCCGATTTCCTTTCTCTCCTTCTTCCCTCCCCCGTATCAAATCCTGCCATCACCATTTCTCTTTTGTGATCAAAGACTGCCTCTCAGCCTCAGATGGCCATTTGCAACTTTTAATGAGCGCTAATATGGAGGAGATGATCAGGAGGATTTTGACAGTGACAAACTTTAAGTGCATTGTAAGTTGTTATCAGTGGGTCACAGTTATGACTGACAATGTTCACGCTTTCATTTGCAGAGAGCAGAAGAGACGCAAACACAGGACAATCTGAGTTTGCCACTTGGTATTTGATGCTGCTGCACAATAAAAACTGTCTTGATCCTTGTCCCCGATATCCCTCTTTGTTCCTTTTTTTAGATTTAGTCAAATGTACTGTGGGTTGAGGGCTCTCGCAGACCCACTGCATTTTAAATATCAATGAATGCAACTGTTAGCACTTGAATATTCAAAGGGCCTCTTTGAGTGTGTGCATGCGAGCTGCATGCTCCCATTTGTCAGAGTAGCCAGGCTGTGTGGCAAGATGTGAATGGAAATTTCTGTTTTCTCTTGTGTGTGTGGAGAGTAAGCTGTTGTGTGAGAGGACAGAGAGGAGAGAGACGGAGAAATGGGAGGACGAGACTGAGAAATAGATGGAGTGAGGACGCTGAAGAGAAAGAAAGATTTCCACTCAGGCTTTTCCTCGTGTGCTTGGATACAATGATTTCGATGGCAGCACCCCTCTTCCTTTTGTCAGTGCATACTTTTAAGAGGCTGCACAGTCTCCCTCTTTGCTTCTCTCACTGCGTCAGCAATACTACAGCCACAAGAACCCACATAACATGAATCCACAAAAATTAATAAGACAAAAACCTGCATGTGTAGATAATCACTCTGGCAGCCAGATAGTGGGTTTGCTGACATGTCTCTTGACATCATCGTTGAGCTCTGAGTGGGAATATTCTTTGTCATTTCTTTCTTTGTTTAATTGAGCATGATCCACAAGGTCAATGAGTGGGAAATTTAAAATAATCCCATTGAGTGGAAGGTCCAAATGGCTCCCTCGTTCAATCAGACCCAACTGACGGCTATACTTTTGGCTAATACTAAATTAAAAGCAAGTGTTTCTCAGATGAATACACCACATGAGATGAAAGAAGCCAAGCTGAGGCTGTAATTTGCGATTACGACATGGGTCAGGGTTTCCCTTCTGTCTAGGTCAATGTGTGGAGCAATCTGATGAGCAGGAGGCCAGGGCTTAGTTTCCAGCACGAGACACAAAGAGGGCATTTAGCAGTAACTGCACTCCTCTTCAAAAAAAACACGCAAAGGAACAAGCAGAGAAACAAAAACACTCGCTCATTTGGAAAGAAGAGGGAAAAAAGGGGGCCATATTTCTGTGCAGATATCAGTGCGCTTTCGGGATGCAAGTGTGTGACCTCCTGTTTGTTTGTGTGCATGTCACTGGAGTGGATGTGCCTTCGACGCTACCTGGTGGCTGTAGGTGGCATGACGGCTGAGCAGCAGCGGCGTGAACAGTTGGACCAAGCGCTCAGTGCTGAGGACGCGGCGCTCCTTGAGCACAAGGGCGTGCTTGAACCAGCGATCCCACAGCCGAGCAGCATTAGGAGGGAGGCTGGTGCTGCGGTGAGGATGGGGGTGGGATTAGACGGAGAGAAATAGCGGCTTTGTTATTGAGCACACAGCAGGAAATATGAACATAAATCATAATTATACACGCACAAAGTAAAAGATAATTAGATAATCAAGAAGAGTGAAGAAGCTGAAAAGTTTGGAACACCTCCAGTATAAAGCATTTCTCAGAGCTCTTCCTTTAAGCAGCCTTTTTAGAAAGGGTTATCCTAAAACAACTCAGAGGTGATGGATTATTAATGAATTCCAGTTAACATTGAATAGACACAGACAGCAAAATTGATTCAGGTTGAAAAACTGAATAAAAAGGTCGAGGTCAGCCAGGAGGGATCTCCAGAGGAAAGAGGGGGGACACTGTTAGATGTGCTCCTTTGAATTGACTATATAGCAGGAAAGGTCTCAGTGAAATCAATAGAGTAGTGAAGCAGAGCATGGATTTAGCTCAGAGTATAACTACTCATTATCCAAAGGACTGGAAGTCGCAGATAGGGCATTTTAATTTACTCATGACATTCACCCACGCAGTGTTACTGTGTGAGGTGACACCAAAGATGACCTTTTACATTTGTGGACAAGGGAGACTGTATCAAATAGTAGCATGAAATCTCTCTGACTGCTGTAAGTGCATGACCCTCCCCACAGTCTAGTGAAGGAAAAAAATAATAATAATAGTAACATAAAATCAAATGCACACACAGCCATCCATCCGTACTGTAAGGTGGTTTACTTTCCTGAAGAAAAGAAGACAAATATCTATTGAACTCTGCAGCTTTTACAGCACTGATATTTGTGCTCTGAACGACTCCATTGTGAGGTGGTACAAGTAGATAATCACGCAACACCCAAAATATCACCAACATTTTATCATGCATCTATATATAAACAGCAACAATGAATACGCTTACATAACATGTATATAAGCATAATTTTTACATCATCACAATTCAAAAGTAAATGAAAATATAACCCTAAACAAAAACTGCAACTGCACACAAATAAGCCAGCCTGTGGTTTTGTTTTTGCAACATATGAATCCATAATATAAAAAACATGCACAGGCTGATGTCAGTTTCTGGCGCAGGATTCACAGACAAACCAGGAGGCCTTACCTTATTTCATTAGGCTCAGTGCTGGCCTGATGAGCACACACCAGATCCTGTGGTAGCAGGCAGCCCTTTTCTGTGCTCCATGACAACCTCTGAAGCTCATGAAGGACGACTGCTCCACACGCTCCAAGGTCCTCGTCATTCAAGCCCGCTCCATCGTCACAAAGGCTTCCCAATATATAGAGAGCAGTCAGCTATTGCCATGGAGCTCTGGGCTCTGCCAGCAGGTCAGGAGTACACAGCATACATCGAACAACTGCCAATACTTCACACACAATATGAGTATAATCACACACATCAAGGCGCATGCACTCCAGCTCACATAATATCACAGCATGGCTAAACGCTCTACCAAGGGTTGTGACACAAAATGGCCCAAGATGTTGTTGACATCGTTCACAAATGTGACGTTTGTACAGACGGAGAGCTTCGCCTTTGTTAATCAGTATTTCACTACTGCTGTAAATGAATCGTGACGTAGAAAAATCTTCTACAAAAACCAACCTTTATCTAATAAATCATGTGCACAATGCTCTCTCTGCCCAGTAACAATTCAGCAGAGCGGTTACTATAACAATCCCACGTGTCTGAAAACCCCTCAGAAATAAAGATGCACGCATGGCGGTAATGGCACTTCATCTAATGTGAGAGCCCTCGGCAGAAGGATAATATGTTTTCCTCATCTGCACAAACTGCCCCCTTAAATAAATATGTGTAGCATTTCATTCAGACATGGGGAGACAAGTTTTAAAAAGTTTGAAGAAAGACACTAAGGGTGTACCTGATAATTCTACTGAGCTCGAGTCCATCGACAGAAGAATCCCCGTACACACTGGCCTGTTCGCTGCGAAGTCGTCCTTCAATGCTGTCTAGCAGATTAAAGAGTCCTTCCTGGGAGAGACTTAAAATAAATTACCTATTAGTGTGGTGAATGAACAAAAAAATGGAAGAGGTCACGTGATCGATAGGTCTGATATTTTTTTAAATGAAAATAAAACTATGATAACATTTTTTCCGGGCGATTTCCTTGAGGTACTCAAGGCTTGCTGGAGAATGTGATCATTAAACTTCCACAATACAGCTTTTCAACAGTTTACCGTGTTCGCTGATTTTGCCACGTGTAATAACAGGTTGCAAGCGAAGAGCTCGACAAAACCAGCATTCAGATCCGGAGCTTGTTTGCTGCTGAATTAATGCGGTATCGAGCAGAGTTGGTTAAATTGCGAAATAATGCTCGAAACGAGTAATATGACGTTACAGTTAAACTCCATTACCCGTTGTAGCTCGTGCATAAAAGTGTACGGAAAAAGAGGGGCCTCTGGATGATTTCCTTTGGTGAGAGATTTACACTTTAATCTGGTCCTGTGTGCGGCTACAAAATGAGAAATGGATGCCTAATGCATGTGGATATTGAGAATCCATCTCTTTCTTGAGCATTAAGCTCTGGGTGGCCCTCATTGAATTCTCCCAGAAACCCCAAGCCGAGAGATCCTGAGCCCCCTTACATAAAAAGAGGCCAAAAAGAATTTATGACAATCTGTAATGGGCTCTTGGGTTAGGGGTCAGCAAACAATTGCTCCCTCTTTTTTGCAGGTTGTTTCCTGGTAACATCCTGATTAAGCTGGCAGCTTGAATTATATCCATGACATTCTGTAGTGTGCAATACATCTGTGCCAAGTCCTCTTCAGTGTGGCTGAAGTAGAATAGGCAAAAGCTCTGTCTTTTTTTTCCCTTTCCCTTATTGCCAGCGTGGGCCTTGAAATAGTCATCTTTCTCTTTCCACTTTATTTATCAACGCTCTTCAAAAAGAGACCTTTAGAGAGTGAGAAAGTGAATTAGTTGTGTTTTCCTGCAAACCTCTCTCTTTACTGTATTGTTGCCAGCTTTCATGTCAAGGTCTCTAACCTCACTTTAGATGCTACTATTGTCCGTGTGTCCACATCATCAGGAGTGTATTGTTAGCCAGGAGGAAGAGGTCAGCCTCTCTGCAGCAGTATTGCTCTACAGCGTCGAGTTGTGGCTCTGGGGTTATTTATCACATGGAATGGCCTCACCATTGAGTGACTGGTGTCAGGCGAATCTCACCATCCAGGCATAAATAGCAAGTGTAACACACAAAAGGACATGGAAAATATAACCACAAGTAATAACAGCACACACTAAGTGCAGTTACACCTGCCTAAATCTGGGATAGGCCCAGCACGCTGTCAGAATTCACCTTAGAAAATACAGAGTGAAAATTTGCGAGACCTTTGCTAAACTAGAATTTAAGCCACAGGAAAAAAAATACCTGAGCAATGCCCTAATGACACTGCAATTACAATTTTTTCAAAATCCTATACGCTTTAAGCTCCATCTGTGGGATTAACTGGGATTTTTAAGAAGCCAGTGTTAACTGTATCACATGCTGTCACCAATCAATCAAACCCATGCAGCACTTCAGACAACACATGTGAGAGCAAAGCACGTTGAGGGCATTGTGATGGTATTAAAAATTAAACTATACAATATTTGAGTCTGTAGGAGAAATGGGTTGTTTTTCCCGGACTGTGGGGGCGATATAAACTTTAACCTTAAGAGAAATACACGCAGGATAGAGACTGGATGCTCTGCGAGGTTTACATCAAAGCCTCTGGTTTCCTCCTCATACAAAGAAGCTCTCCGTGTTAACAATGAAAGCTGCAGCCAACTCCATTGTCTACCCAGCACAGCCTAACTGAGGCTCCTCTTGGGGTCATGCTATAAAAAGTATAGTCGACCACACATAAACACAGTTGGGCACAAACAAACATGCAGCACTCTCAGAGAGAAAACATAATCCTCCACAATATTTTTGATGCTCACAGAGAGCACACCAATTAAAAAATAAAGCCTTTCATACCAATAATGCTCAGAAATTACTATTTATTTTTGTAATTACAGAAAAAGAAATAATATTTAAGAATATAGTCCATAATGTGACCCAAGAACAGAGAGAAGGCAAACATTAAACAGTGTTTTTTTTCCTTGAGAGTACAGTGAAGAAAAAAGTGCACACAAAATGAAGGTTTTTTTTTAAGAGCATAAGAGGTGCTGTTCATAAAAGACCTCATACTGTAGCGAAAATGCAAAGGCTCTCCGTGCAAACATTCACATAGGATTTTCTGTGGCTCTAACCCCATCCAAAATGATCCTTCAACTCAGAGGCCATCATCACGCTAAGGATTTGTGGCTGTAAGTGCTGTCCACATGCCCACCCCTCCACAGCACTCTATGGTGCCACAAATTTCCTCCTCCACTGGGGACTTCCTGAGGTCTCTCAAGCAGAAAATTGCTCTGTTACAGCATTATCTTGGATTATGGCAATATTGTTGGTGACAGGTCCCCAGCTCTCCCTATAAGATGCATCACTGCCACCGCAGCTGCTGCTGAACTACAGAGAGGACGGTGGCATGAACCGTGACTCCCACAATCCTCTCTGTCAGCCTCAGATGTGAAGGTGGAAAGGAGGAGTTTGCGGCGTGTTCACTCGCTATCATCAACAGCCCTCTGTGGTTCGGCATGGCCATGCAGAACATTCTCCTTGCTTAGCCCGCTTAGCCTTAAATTTTGGGGAGGGAAGCTGCTGACTGCACTGAGCACCGTTTGAGGAAGAATGTTAGTGTTTTTCTTCACTGACCCACTTTGAAAACGTCAGACAACAAACTACATTAGTCATATATACTGTACCTTTTCAAGGCCCCCACTGCAGCTTTGCTGTTTAAGTGGACTGTTTTCTTGGAGCCATTAGAGTGCAGAGACGATTCAGGACTGTGCTGGTTGTGATCACGCCTTCCGTGAGTATCATTACCCTCATGTGCCCCACCCTCTGGTGCATCCTCCTCCAGCTCAGATTGTGTCAGAGAAATAGACAGGTCACTAGCAGTGCTCTCTGACAACTCCACATCTGAACTCAGTGTGCTGACACTCTCACTTTTACCTGGATGTAAATATACAATGTAGTGTAAAGGGAAAAAAGTGCTTTAAAAGATTCTAGCACAGACAGAAAGATCACTGCAAACCTGTTCTCTCTTCAGCTTCTTTTCCCAAAGTGGTTTTTAGCATCAAATGGCCGTGACCTCTCTCTTCATCTTCCATCGTGCGTGCCTCGTGAGCCACCTCTTTGGAGTCGGTGTGTTCTGCGATGGAATTCTGAGTCCTCGTCGGGCTTCTGCTGCCAGGAGATGGATTCTTCTCAGGCCCTGTCAAGGTCGCCAAAGGTGAAGGTTCCCGTTCATCATCACTTCCAAAAGCCACACCGCCAGCTGTGCCTGTTAAGGCACGAACAGATGGGAGCGGCCCCATCGTTCTTTCATGTTTGTCACTCAAATTACCGTCGTCAGGGGAATCGTTTGAGCCTGAAATGTCATCTGATAAATGTGCTCGGTTGCTGGCGGCATCCTCTCCGCCGACTGTGAAGTCCTTCAAAAGGCCACTTGGTAGACGTTCGCGGGAGTGCAGGCTGCGATTGGGTGAATGATGCAATGCTTGGTGTGAGTGTACACTTGTGCTGCCAGCTTCTGCATCAGGCCCTCTGGAGGTCTGGTGGCCCATAAAAATTTCCACTGGTGCTTGTTTAAAATCCTTAGCTGGGTGAGAGACGTATCCGTCCTGGTGCTGTGCACGAACAGCTTCAGCCTGCACTCATGAAGAAAACAAACACACACACACACAATATATTCATTTTATCAGCTAAACTTTTCATTACCTCATAAAATATTTTTTTCCAGGCATGAATATGGATCGCTTAAAATGTCAAAGTTCTTGTTTCAGTTAAATGAGTGCTATTTTGAAAGAATTTCAACTCAAGTATGTCAGCTATCCACTTTAGAAATTTGAATAAATGTAGCTTATTTGGGCCAAGGTCAGAATTCTTTTCACAACATTTTTCAAAAGAATGTCTCAGGATCAATGTTTTAACTTTTAATCTTATTAGAAATCCTTTAGACAAGTTTTGATTCATGTCTGCAATGTCACCAAGGGCGGGGAGAGAGAGAAGCAAAAAAGCCTCCCTCCAAACATAATAACAAAAAGCATGGCTTCTGTTTCTTTTCTGATAAGCGTCTTAAATACCAAACAGTTAGCTGCTTAATAACATTCACTGTAAACCATGCAGCCTGCCCAGCAGATCCACAAAGTAGGTAAAAAAAGAGGAAAAGTTAATTTCTTGGCTGAGTGATTCCATCGGTAGCTGCAGGGCAAAGTAGAAAGTGTTTCACTAAAGTAGCAATTGATTCTTCTATCAATCTGCGGCACGCGTGTGCTCTTCCAAGGAATGTATTAAATATGAAAATCATATCCCGTTATCATCTGTCTCCAGCTTTCAGCCCGGTAAGCTTCCCTTAATGAATGCTGCAGCCTGAGGGACATGCACACTGCCAGCCAATGGCTTGTATGCATAATGGAGTGACGGTACCATTTTGCTCATTACAATATCGACAGACTGAGGGGGGTTTTGCACACAGTTACAAGTGACTGCTCTAGACAGCATGCTCCAAGTTATTATGAGATGTCTTAGACATTTCATCTAAAAGAGCTTTAACTGCTTTAAGTGAAGGGAGAAAGCAGCCATGGGCTTGAACTACATCGCTTGTACAGATTCAGCAGCTAGGATTAGACACCTGTGTTATTACAGATACACAGTTTAAATGTAGACTCTACAGATTTACCAGGCATAATGTCTACGTTCCTTTGTTATTCCAAACCTAAAAACGTAACTTGATAGAACTGAAATTAGCATAAACCTTTAAACATTGGAAAAAAAGAAATAAGTACCATTTATCATCCAAAAAATATAAAACAAACAAACAGAGTGCAGGTTACCTGATACATAAAGGATGTGATGTGTGTGATCACATGCTATTGCATACCTTTGCTGGTTCCCGCTCCATTTTCTTCTTTGCTTCCATAAATTTGGAAATCTTTTTCAAACACTCAGCCTGTATGAAATAAGACTGAATTAATAATTAAAAGATAAATGACTTCTTTAATATTCAACTGGCATGTGTCATGCAAACTCATCTAACCTGTCTGAATATTAGCTGGATGTGGTGTAAAAGTGGGGAAAAAAAAATAAGGAAAGTAGCTGAAAGCAGCCCCTATCAGTAACAGAGGGTTTTCCTAAGTGAGTGTCCTCTATGCAGACGCTGACACCCCTTAGCATTTTTATTTGGCCGGGCGGACTCACTGCCTTACTGCCAACTCCAACAGAACCTTTGCCATACCTTTAAATTACAAAAACAGACCTTTAAAAAATGTGTTTTTTAACATACAGCACAAATACCAAAAATACAAATACAATAAAATCTAGATAAATATACATGCTAATCGGAGAGGGAATATATACTCACTGTCGGTTTGAGAAATGTGTTTTTCTTTGTACCAAAAGCATCACGGTTCAACCAGAAAAAAACCGTGGTTGATTTTACACAATGGAAACAAAGTGCAACAGGACGACCAAAATAACAGCAAACATGCAGGACTCATAAAGCATCAAGAGGAAATAAACCAACTGCTTGAGGGGAGAGAATGGCTAAATCTCTGGAGCACTTCAGAGTCTCTATATTGGGCAATTAACTCGGTGAGTCATAATTAGCCAATTTTGTTAATTTGATATTAAGCTGTCAAGCACTGTCGTTGAGTTTTAAGTGATAATCTGACTGGCTCATTGTTTTCTCCCCCGTTCATTTGCTTGTCATGATAAATTGCACAGTTTGAGTGTTTACTATTGTCACATCAAGCCATTGCAAGCAAATGTCTGCTCTGTTAAAATTGCAGCAAGGCATTAAGGCAAATGAGCATCAACAACACCCTCATTTATAAAAACGCAGCATCCCTAATAAATATATATATTTTATATATACCTGCACATGCATGGGCGGCCATTATTCCAAAGTTAACCTCGTAGAACTACGGTTTTCTTAAACGTACAGCTTGGACAGCAGTAATTACTGGTTATTACACGTGAATCTAAAAATGTCAGAAGAAAAGTACAACTGTCAAATCTGATTCCACCGCAGTGGAAGGAGTGTTTGTTCATACTAAAAGCCTGCTTTCAGTACGACTCCATAATGACAAAAGCTACTCCACTGAACAAATGAACTTGAGCAAATGTGTGTGTGTGTGTGTGTGAGAGAGAGAGAGAAAGAAAGAGAGACAGAGCGTGTGTGTTCTACCTTTTGTTGTTGGAGGGGGGCATGGTCAGGACTATATTCCTTCATGCTAATTTCTATGCACTCCACATCTCTCAGAAGCTCAAGGTTTCTCATTTTCGCTCGTGCTTCCCTGTCACAGATTTCCTTGAGATAACTGCGCAGTTTGGAACACTTTATCTGTAAGCTGAAGGCAGTGGAGAACTATTATTCAAAAGAAATATTATCTAAGAGCATTGTCAGAAAATAAGAGCTCGACTTCTCAGGAGAAAAGGTTAAGCACAATATGTTTTAAATTTAAATCTCATTCTCAAGTCGCCCATCAACCTAAGCCCTGCTGGATGGACCTGGCATGTTGGTGTTTATGAGACATGATTTACATCTTTTTTTTTCTTTTCTTTTTTTTTAAAGCAGTGTTATGCTTGTACACATTGTATTAAATAAAAACTGACACAAATGCCTGGATTGTTTATTCCCAAATGAAAATAATAAAACAGCTGTCAATCTATATGAATACATGGGAATTTTTTCAAATCAATTTCATATACAATGATGAAAGTCCACTCACATATAATTGGATATTTAACTCAAACCAGTGACTTACGCTCTTTTATCGGATCTGGAGTAAGCAAACAGCTCCCTCTCCAGCTCCAGCCTCCGTTTCTCCCTGCACACAGAGCGCACAGAGAAGGTGTTACCCACACACACCGCTCCAGCACCTCCGTGGTTTCCTGGGCTAATTATTGCCAAACCGTCAGACTTATGAACCCAGCGAGGTTCCATAACACACATGCTAATGCAGGATAGCAACTTTCATGGGAACTTGACTAACTTTCATTAATACGCAAACGCTAATCAGTTACTGCTTTATACACATCCACGAATCCAAGTAAGCAGGCTAAAGAACTAGCTTCTGCTCATCTCTGTGTACGCGGAATTCGCTAGGAAGCTAACGGGTAAGGTGAGGCTATCAGACGGCAACGGTAACAACTCGAGTCCGCGGTTCTACGGGGCCGTGCTCTTTATAATACGAAAACACCAACTGTCCTCACCTTTCGTGTATGCTCTGCTGAGCTGACGTTATCCTTTCGTAGTAGTGGTCCTCGCTGCGAGCCGAGCTTGCCATTTTCTCCCGCTTTTGGCGCCGTTGCAAAGCCGAGAGGAAGAAGAGGCAGACGGGGAGGAGGGGGAGAGGGGGGCCACTGGTGTTTACGTTGGTTGCCATGCGCACCGCTTCCCAGAAAGCCTTGCGGATAAACACAGAGAACACGTGGTTGGAGCACGGAGACGTGCACGAATTAAATCCGAGAGTAATAATGAAAGAAAAAAATCGACTAAATGTTGGGTAAGAATTTGTTTTTCAGCGTATTTGGAGTATTTGCCCGAACGTAAATCCCCCTTATTTAGAAAGACGCACAGATGTTCGTAAAGGTGTTTAAATGTCATTTCTGTTTATTTATCAGAGTTTCTAACCCGCCTGGGCTAGATACCAGCCATCAAACGTCTGACTTTTATTTGATAAGCTTCCCTTGCTCTGTCACACACACACTGATGTCTGATTTTCTCTGATGGTTGCTGTGCATCATCCCCAGATGTTGTCTTGCATTATCAAGGTTCATCGCTGACATTTCTCAGAATGTCATGTTTTGACTGAGTCATTTTCTCAAAGCGACAGCACTACATGTCCTTGCTGGGATACTGAAATTGACTGCTCCTTCAAATGCACACCCTAATCAGCCAATTTCCCCAATTCCAGTCCCATCAAACTGCTCTTTATCTGTTGAACTGGGGAGTTTTGTTGTTCTTTTCTAATGCTAATCTACCCCATTCAGTATCTCTCTATGAGGCTATTTGTTGTGAAATAAATCCCCTTGTTTGCCTCCTGCATGTATAATTGATATTGTTGCCAGGCTTTTTGTTTGTGCCGTGGAGAGCTGGAAGGCAGTGCTTTGGAGGTGATGAAGAAAATGAGACTTGCAGCACTGCCGTTCCAGCTGAGCTCAGCCAAGGTTGATGCCTGTGATCAGTCTTTGTTGGATGTCATACATGCATTTGTGATTATTTTCAGCAGATTGTGGCCTCCCAATGCAGACTACATTTGCGACCACTGTTTAATATCTTTGTAATATCCAGATATACTAGGCCCCCGTGTTAGATCGCACACCAAATTGAGGTGAAAACTCTGAACTGAACTTTTTACTTAATTCATCCAGGTGAGTTATGAAATAACAGGTGCACTGAATAAATTCAGATTTCCCGTTTTCTCATCTATAATGCATTCCTTTCCACATATCTCTTAAACAACATTAGCTTTACAGTGAATTATCCACAGTATACTTATTTCCTAGTTAGGAAAAAAGTATATAGTCCAAAATTCTGCAACAATAAAACCATTATTTTGATAAAGTAGTAATAGTTTTAACAAGTGCTTATCAATGTAAACAAAAAGGTGCCATTTTTCAAATCTTACTACATGAAGGGTCCAAGAAAATATAGTTTACTTTTACTCTTTGTAGTTTTATACAGTGTCTCCACACTGGCTTTCTCTGTTGCTCCTGTGCAAACATACAATCTGTATGGCCATTGATATGCCCTAACAGAGGTCACAATTTGCATGAGAATTAACAGCAAGTAAATTAAATTGATATTCAGTGCACATCTCCATCGAATCCTTCAGACCTTTGTTCCCCCTGCCTGGCAGAGCCCATGTTCAGCCCCCCCAGCTAGTCAGAAACATCTGTGCAGTTAATAATTTGATAAACAGCTTACACAAATGCTAAATTATCTTCTCCATTCCCTCCCCTTTTTCCTTTCCTTGTGCAAGACAGTTGGCTCACCTCTCTGTGGTGTTGGGTTTATCTGTCTTTTGTGGCTGTTCTTCCACAGCTCTGGTTTTAATGGCTCTCCCTTCACTCCTTTCACTATCACTTAGATACTGAAGCAGTGTTTGGGGTTAATGCAAATCCTCAACTCTCATCTGCGGCAAAAAAAAATCCACTGAAGTTTCCTATTGTGGCAAGTTTAAAATGAACTTTGTCGGAACATTTGTTATTCATTCACAGCTCTGTGCGGGTAGCATTTAAAAATACTCAGAAAGAACTGTGACATTGATCAGCACATTTGAACATGTGCAGTGCCTCCGTTCTGCAAAAGCCCACAACTCAGCTGACTCCCTGTGAAATTACAAATTAAGGTCTGACATATTTTTTTCCAGAGAGCATTCTGCACCAGAGTGCAAAAGCTTTCAAGTTCCACGTGTTAATTCAATGGTCACTTGTTTCTATAATTGGCTGATACCAGCAGTGAAAGAGATTTGACCGGGTTTTTATAATCATTTCAAAAAGCAGGCTCTTGTGGTTGGCACAGGTATAGTTTTATTTTCACAAAGGTATATTAAAAAGATTAAACGTGTCCGGAGGATGATATTAGTAGTATCTGTTCAAAATCAGGCCTGATTAAATTTGAAAAGGATACAAAATATCACAGACAGATCTTTATGTGTTGTGCGTGTGCCCGCGTGCAGTTTATTTGTGTGTCGATATTTTGCAAGTACGTTTTTGTCTATGAGAGGACAGCAATTAGTTAAGTGCTATCAAGTGGATGAAAAGCTGCAACAAATCCCCTTTATAATTTCATGGAAAAGAAAGCTGACAAAATGGAATGGGATGGAGGGGAACTAGTTTCCAATGCTTACCTTTTCGGTTGCAACTTGAGAAGAAATTGAACGCTAAGAGGGTGCGCTAAGCCGCGTTAATACATTGTGCAACTTTTTTCACATGCTGAGTTGTTGCTTTAAACTTTTTCTTTTTTCGGCTCTGTGGATATTGTCTGTTCTGTTACTGAGTTTTAGCGAGGAGATCAGATTCACCACGTTGCTCCACTTGGTGGTTATCTGAATAAATATCAGGGCAGTCTTGAGTGCTGTCTGAGAGCACAATGCTTCATTGTGGTTTTGTACAAAGACTCCAAGCTCTAATGACAGTGGCTTGTTGTTGTTAGCACATGTAGGCCTTGTGATGTTGTATTTTGCAGAGTGGATTCATTCTCCGTGTTGTTTATACTTTTATTCTTTTTCTTGGGCGTCCTCTACCAGTGTCACCCAGACTCTTGTCTGTCATTTTCACATGTTTGCAGTCACTGGGGGCGACAGAGACAGGAAGGAGAGGATCATCTCACAGTTTGACAAGAGTCTTTGAGTCTAGAGTTTGACCGACAGCTGATAGGAGCAGCGGTGTGGCACACGGCGGCAAGCGGGGGCAGTGTGTTTGTGGTTATCAGATGAAGAGATTCATGTGGGCTGGGCTGTTTAGGTCAGATGGCTGACAGTCAGGACTTGATGTTTGCTATTATGTCGTTGTGCTGGTTGGTAATGCTGATGCCTTGCCTTGTTACAACAGTGCCCTCTTTTGCCCCATGTTTGCTAGCTTAGGTTTGGTGCTAGTGAACCAGCTGCTGAGTGGTGAATAAAACCAGATAGCTTTTCTTGTCTCACTGTTTGTGTCATGCTTACTGAGGTTTTGAATTGATTACACTGATTATAGGTATTCCCCTGCAAGGTTCAGAAAAGGTTCTGAAACCTCTTCAAACACCTCGTTTGTACTTCAACATTTATGTTATTAGTTCTGTTTAAAAGTTTGGCATAGTTTCTGTTATTCAGTTTATTCCAAAACAGCATTTGGAAGATCATTTTTCATGTTATGCAGCTTAAGTGCAGAAACACTGATCTTTCTTAAAAATGTTCTGCTTGAAAGGATGTTGCCACTGTTTCACAAGAAGCAGTTGTTTTTTAATATGATCGGTAACTTTTTCATTGAAGGAACAGTAGACCTGAGAAGAGACAGTTGAGTAAATGAGTGCCTCTTCCCTATACCCGAAGAGCCAATCCAGTCCTGGATGGCCCATTTGACCCAATCCTCCTGGAGAGGCCCACGGGGCACACGTCACATCCACATTAAGGCATTAGAAAATGCTTTATTTGTTTGCGTGAGGGACATCCTCTCCTGTCAGTTCTGTAGGTCACACTCAGTTGACACTGCAATTGGAAGTCATTGCGCTTGTGTGGGTTTAGTCTTCCAGGTCAAATTATCCTTCAATTCAACCTGAAATTGGGAATGGCAGCAGCAAGGATCAGCCCAGGGCCCAGGCCCTCTCCTCAGTATTAAGCCATCACAGTGTTGTAAGGTGAGCTCCTGTAATGAACCCTGTCACCGCTACCACTGCACCAATATCCCCA